ACCCCAATAATGCCTCTGTTCAGTGAATACGACCCCAAATACACCCTGAAAGCACACAGCGTGAGGTTTGTCATCCTGCCTGTGATTGGTTGGTTGAATCCCTACAAATGATGTGTAGGATTGTTCCAGAAGGTGAGTTACTTTGTGAAATGTTAATGTAATGTTTCTGAAGCTTAGACATTTAAGTGAAGCGTTAAAGTGAATATAGGAGGCACAGATACTGTTTCTACTTTTCTGAGTGTAACCACAGGCTACTAGTACTATTGATGCCGTCCCAAGAACAGACACTCTGTATTTGCTATTTCAGAGTATAAGTAAGTCAGGTGTTCTGTATTTATCTTGTCAACAAATCCATGAAATGTTCAAAACCAACAATGTGTTCGTGTGTCTCACTACATTCTGACTTCCAGCCTGTGGCTCTCAGCCCCAAGTCCATTGGTTCCTTCTGAAGACATAAATGTTTTTGGACAACAATGGAGCTCTATCATGTGAAGTACCACAGACAGAGCAGGGAATTCAGAAGGTACTGAGAACTGAACGAATACATTGTTAGTTTTGGTATTTTCATGGATTTTGATGACGGTTAAGAAAAAAACCCAGCAGCCTGATCTTGTACTGAGAGTATGCCGCCTGTGGAAGTGCACTTCACAGTGCTGCTTGTTGGCCATTTCTCAGTAAGTTGTACTCTGAGGAAAGGGCCAGTAGACAGCACTTCCTCTAAAGATCAGAGTACCAGTTGCCATGAATGCAACCTGACTGAATTATTAGTCTCATCGCTCATATCAATGAGGCATAAGCTTGTAGTCGCAGAGTCAAACTGAAAACCTGCTCTCTTTTAAGTAAGTGACTGACATTTTGTTTTTTAAACACAAAATGATGCATTGTTCCAGTCAAGCTTCCGATGAGATGTTTTTTGTACTGTTATGCTTGACAAGAAAATTTGCTCTTTTTAAAAAAAAAAAAAATAAAGGGCCGTTCCCTTCAGATGCTAACTGAAGAATACTCGTTTGTCCTGACTTCCAACTGTATAAAGTCGGTCATGTGTCACAAAAGCAACTTTCCATTATGTTTAAGGAAAATCCAGATTCTGTCTGGTCTTCATGTTTGTAAAGTCACACCCCTGTTAATGATTAAGACATTTCAGTACTGATAGTTTGTTTTGCTTGTAGAATGTATTTAGTGCTACCATTTTCACACAGCTTGTTTTCTTTGTGTTGTGTATTTACTAATAAACATTATACATACACCTTTCTACAAAATTACCTTTTTTATGGTGCCAAAATGAATGACACATGAAAGCCACAGTGTGAGGAATACACGTACAGAGGAAACCTTTTTCTGAAATATATGAATAGAAACATTTCATAAATGCTTTAGAAGATACTATAATGTAGTTGGAAGCATATCTAAACATTTTTCTACATACAATATCATAAATGACGAAGTGATGGATTTTTAGGAACTTTAGCAAACATTAAAAATATAAGTATTCTACGGAAGAGGATTAGGGGTATTCCCACCCAATAGATGTTCCACAACTCTGCCTCTGATTGGTTTGTATTGGTGCATCTCAAAAAAATAGAATATTGTGGAAAAGTTCATTTTCTTCATTAATTTAAGTCAAAAACTTTTAAATATTCTAGATTCATTACATATAAAGTGAAATATTTCAGGCTTTTTTTGTTTTAATCTTGATGATTACGGTTTACAGTTTATGGAAGTCAAAAATCCAAACAAAAAACCTGAAATATTTCACTTTATATGTAATGAATCTAGAATATATAAATTTCACTTTTTGACTGAAATTACAAAAAATAGAGATTTTTTCACGATATTGCACCTGTACTTGTTGTCTCTGTTGGTTAGGGGCACATTTACCCTCAAAATGTTTTGCACCAGTTTGCTACAGTTTCCAGATTGAATGACATGTTTCTTGGAAACCATGCAACGTTGTGCAACAGGCTTCAAGATATGTTTTCCCTTGTTTGGTGTTTGTGTCAGAGTTGTTAAACTTAGTTCAAAGTCAGAATTCTGAGAGTAATTCTGACAACAATTATAATAAACTTTATTTATGCAGCACCTTTCCAAAACAAGGTTTACAAGTCTCTTTACAGGGCAACAACCAGGAAACATTCAAATGTTAAGAGAAAAACAATAAGAACTATAGCACCATCAATAAAACAATTAAATAAAGCATTAAAAAACAGTAACATAACATGATGGGGCAGGAAGGGATGCAAGAGGGATCACAGGAAAGCTAGACAATAAAAGTGCATTTTATGAAGAGATTCAAATGAAGACATAGACTTAACCTTACTAACATCTGGAAGGTTGTTCCAGTTTGGGGATCGTGTAAAAGAAATGGCCTAATATATGAGATGATTTCTTGCTTTTTTCAATTTTAGAAAGTTGAAAAAAGCTGGACTGCATGACAGATGTGATGTGGCTCTTCCAGGTGAGGATGCTGTCAATTACAACACCAGGAAGTAATAAGATGGGTGTATGAACCTAATATGTTATGGTAATTTTAGTTTTGGGGTCTCATAACTACTATAACATTTTTTTCACCAAAGAAAAAAAATTTGGAAGCCTTATCTCATAATTACGAGATCAGGATGTCGTAATTACGAGAAAAGATGTCATAATTACAAGAAAAGATGTCATAATTACGAGATAAGATGTCATAATTACGAGATCAGGAATCCGGATCTCGTAATTATGAGAAAAGATCTCGTAATTAGAGATGACTGGAAAGGTGCCATTTATTACTGAGTTCAGTAAAGTTCCCAAAATTATGCAAAACTATATTTCTACAAACTAAGTGTTGTAGTATCATCAGCATGACATCACTGATACCTGGTGTGATTTTTGAGACACTACAGCCTTTAACAGTGAAGTTATTGAATATTGAAAATAGACCTACCTAATATTAGCTATGCAAAAGTCTTTTTTACCCTAAACAAAGTATTGTAGTATAACCAGCAGTATATCATTAATGTGTAAGGTGGTTTTGGGGGCACTATATTGTGTAAGTGTGAAGTTATTGAATATCTCTGCAGAATGTGTTTTCGGTGTAGACGGTCCCTGCGCACTCGTCTCACAGCCGGCTGCACATAGAGACCAATGTCATTTGTTCTGCTCCTAGGAAGACTCATTTATGTGAAAATGTACTTGTAGCTCGTTGTCTACTTAACTACGATAATAAAGAGGCGTCGTTTGTGTTTTAAACACATTTTGCTTACAGATTATTGATCCCGGCAGCTCAAATCTGTGAATCTATTTCCAACTTTACTGAACTCAGTAATAAATGGCACCTTTCCAGTCATCTCTAATTACGAGATCTTATCTCGTTATTATGACATCTTTTCTCGTAATTACGACATCTTTTCATCTTTTACGAGATCCTGATCTTCCAATTTTTTTTTTCTTTGGTGAATGCAATGCGCTTCCATACATAACTGGTCAAAGAGGTCAAAGAAACTGCCTGCTGAGGTCAGAGACAGAGATTCTGTCGAGGCACAGATCTGGGAAAGGCTACAAAATAGGACTGGGGGACTGGTCAGGGTTTAGAGAAAGCTGAACGGAGCAAAGTACAGATATGAATGAAAAGGTTCGGTGTCCTTGAGTGGACCAGCCAGAGCCCACACTTCAACCCAATCAAACATCTCTGCTGAGACCAGAAAATGGCTGTCCACCGACAGTCCACATCCAACCTGAAAGAGCTTGAGAGGATCTGCACAGAGGAATGGAACAAAATCCTCAAATCCAATCATAGCCAAGAAAACTCCAGACTCGCTGCCAAATGTGCTTCAGCTAAGTTAGGGTCTGAATGATGCGATATTTCAATTTCTTTTTGATAAATTTCAAAAACGTTTTCGCTTTGTCGTTTTTGGGTTTTGAGCGTAGACTGATGAGGAAAACAGTCTCATTTAAACGATTAGAGCATTAGGCTGCAACATGACGACTGACCGAAGGGCTTTGAATTGTTTCTGAAAATGAAATCCATAAAGTTGGTCAGTAGCAGGAAGCATGAAGTGCTCTAAAACTTCCTGGTAGACGGCTGCGTTGACCTTGGACCTCAGAAAACACAGTGGACCAACACCAGCAGATGACATGGCACCCCAAACCATCACTGACTGTGGAAACTTTACTCTGGACTTCAAGCAACGTGGATTCTGTGCCTCTCCTCTCTTCCTCCAGACTCTGGGACCTTGATTTCCAAAGGAAATGCAAGATTAACTTTCATCAGAGAACATAGCTTTGGACCACTCAGCAGCAGTCCAGTCCTTTTTGTCTTTAGCCCAGGCGAGACGCTTCTGACGCTGTCTTGTTCAAGAGTGGCTTGACGCAAGGAATGTGACAGCTGAAACCCATGTCTTGCATACGTCTGTGCGTGGTGGTTCTTGAAGCACTGACTCCAGCTGCAGTCCACTCTTTGTGAATCTCCCCCACATTTTTGAATGGGATTTGTTTCACAATCCTCTCCAGGGTGCAGTTATCCCTATTGCTCATACACTTTTTTCTACCACATCTTTTCCTTCCCTTCGCCTCTCTATTAATGTGCTTGGACACAGAGCTCTGTGAACAGCCAGCCTCTTTAGCAATGACCTTTTGTGTCTTGCCCTCCTTGTGCAAGGTGTCAATGGTCGTCTTTTGGACAGCAGTCAAGTCAGCAGTCTTCCCCATGATTGTGTAGCCTACAGAACTAGACTGAGAGACCATTTAAAGGCCTTTGCAGGTGTTTCCAGTTAATTAGCTGATTAGAGTGTGGCACCAGGTGTCTTCAATATTGAACCTTTTCACAATATTCTAATTTTCTGAGATTCTGATTTTGGGTTTTTTATTAGTTGTCAGTTATAATCATCAAAATAAAAAGGAATGAACACTTGAAATATATCAGTCTGTGTGGAATGAATGTATACATTATACAAGTTTCACTTTTTGAATGGAATTACTGAAATAAATCAACTTTTTGGTGATATTCTAATTATATGACCAGCACCTTTATATAACAAAGTTTATTAGTATAGCATCTCTCATAACCAATCTTAAAAAGTGCTTTGCATATAAACAATAAAGGATTCAGAAATCAAATAAAGGCATTAAAAAACTGTAAAACAGACGTCAGATAAACAAACTTACAATGTACAATGTCTAAAACATACCAGCATAACAGACATCAAAATTATAATTATTGTACTAGTCAAAGTGATTTAATGGAAGATGATGACAAAGTGTGCATGAGCTCCCCAAAGCAGGTCACTCCAAACAGCAGGTCCGTGTCTGAGGACCTGAGGCAGCCAACAGCATGGAATATGATTTGGAGCCATGAATAGCCTTGAATCTTGATCTTTCCATACCAACCCTCTGCCTTACTGTAACATATTCAACCACTAGGGGTCAGCCACATCTGGATTTTTAGTGAGGACGGGGCAACTGTTGTTGCTCTGAAGCTGATGTGTAAGAGTCTAATTCACTTGAAAAATTGTCAATGATGTCCAGGTGGCAGAAAAACATGCTGGTTCACAAACATCTAATAACAACAGTGAAAATATACAGAGCGTTCTCTTCTCAGTGAGAAGTCACCATCAGTAAATGGGTAGTCCGTGCTCAGGTTACAATATACTTGTTATATTTAATAATATATGTATATTGAGTCTGATAGCATAAATTTACCACACAACAACATGTCTCCTCACAAAACAAAATCATTTCGACTTTGACAGATTGCTTTCACAGAATTTTAAAAATATATAAAAGCTGCCTTAGAAGCATCAAATCGGAGGTCTGGAGAATAGCCATTTCCCCTACACAGTGATGTGTGTGTGTGTGTGTGTGTGTGTGTGTGTGTGTGTGTGTGTGTGTGTGTGTGTGTGTGTGTGTGTGTGTGTGTGTGTGTGTGTGTGTGTGTGTGTGTGTGTGGTAACGAAAAAACACAATCCTACAGAACGGAAACTGGAACGTATTCCATATTCCAGTTCAGCTCTGCTGGCTCTCTGTGCAGCTGATGATCAGGGTCCTTGCTGCTGCTCTGTTGCAGCTTGTGTCAGTAAAGTCTGGAAGTCCGGAGATAAGACCAGTTTGTGGTGCACATTCCCTAACACCATTATGTCTCCAGTCCGACCGTCGGACAGACGCACAGACACCAGTTGCTGCAGAAGGAAGAGAGAGAGACGGCTTCTATATTAATATTGACAGTGGTTTGTTTTTCTAATCACATACTGACTCAGTATTATTAACAGTGGTACTAATAATAACAATCATTTATTTTTAAAAGAATTGCAACTCCACTGGGAAGATATATATGTTTGATATACCACTTCCTTGGAGACAGGTGTATAGCTTGATTTTTCGTTGTGTATCTGATAGAAGGACAGATCTGTTCAGATGGGGGCTGTAATGTATCCTCAGTGGAATGAGGATGAGGAGGATGTGACTCATTTATTTAGACTTTGTCCTTATGTTATATGTGTCCAGTGCCCCCAAGCAATCTGGTGACTGAAGAAGCGGTTATTGGCTAAAACTGTTTTCTGTTCTTTTTAATGTGAAGACAAAAGAAACGCTTTGTTTGCTTGGGGGCACTGATTTATTCTAGAGGGCATAACTGCAAGAAGGCAAGAGGAGGTAAATGATTCTAAGACATGGTGTAAATTAAGGCCAGGTCTAGTTGGAATTGTTTAAGTATTAGTATTTCTATTATTATTTAGTTGGGTTTTATTTTGTTTTTATTTTTTGTGTCTATTATTGTGTGTGTGTTGTCTGTTTGCTTTCGGGTGTGTGGGCTTTGCAAATTGTGTTATTTTTATCAATCCAAAATAAAAACATTTCATAGAAAGTACTGATTTCCCTGTAGTAGATTGGTGAGTTAGTGATGAATGAATCCACTGCAGCATTTATCATTTGAAAAAGTAACGAACACGAGTTCATCTTAAAAGTAATGCACTTGCTGGATTATGGATGTGGATAATAATTTGAGCAAAAATTTCCTCTCTTGTCCTGCTGCCAGTTTTTAGTGATTTGATATTTCAATACAGAAATTAATTTCATTCAATAACCAGTTTTTTTTTTTATTTCTCTGTTTTTTGGGGGAGTAATCTCTGAATGACACTCATTATGTCCCACCTGCTGGGGCGGCTATGGCTCAGCAGGTAGAACGGGTTGTCCGTTAGGCGGAAGGTCAGCGGTTCAATCCCTGCCTCCTCTAGTCGATGGATGTGTCCAGTTGAATTGCCCCTGGCAGCTATTCCACTGTGTGAATGTTAGTTTCTGTTTGAACGCTTAGGCTCAGTGTGTGAATGGTAAAAGCGCTTTGAGTGGTCAAAAAGACTAGAAAGGTGCTATACAAATATGGAGCATTTACATTTACCACTGAATGACTGATGAAAACCGGCCGAGGTCAATTTCATGAACTAGTTATGTAACTAATAAAGGCTTTTTATTCAAACTCCACGTACTCCTGCCACTCTGTGAGTGACTGCCTGAAGTTTGCTCTTTTATACAAGCAAGTGACCTGACATGCTGACAGAAAAACATTAAGAGCACCCTGTGACTCACAGTAAGGGACTTTGGCTGCTTAACTGCTTAACTGCTTACTCTGCCTGTTACAATACAAGTATGTTATAATATGACACAGACACACACACACACACTACCTGCAAGAAGGAGAATGCAGCTCCCTCAGAGACGTCCATGACAATGTCACCCAGCTTCAGCTCCACCTTTCCGGACTTCCTGATCTGCAGTTTACCCAAAAAGCCTTCTGGGAATTGTGACAGCACAGGACAGCCGTCCTTCACCGCAGGCTCCTGAGGAGAGGCAGTGATACACACCCTGTTAATACCTGGCTAAATGTGACAGTTTGGGATTGAAAATGCCAGCAGCTAATACACTGCAACAATGAACTACTCTAAATATGAAAAAGGTATTTTTCTGGTTCAAATGTAGAAAAGTAGAAACAGCCTGAAAATAAACTAAAATAAACTATTCTAAAAGCCCTAGTCAAACTTTGTGAACATATAGGGCTCTAGTCTGGTACTCTGTGTAATTATAATAATAATAATAATAATAATAATAATAATAATGATAACAACAACTAAACCTGCACGCAGGTATCAACGGCACAGTCCCTCAGGCTTGGACATATAAATAGTAATGCAAATCATGATTTTGAATAACCTGGCCAAGAGGCAGCATATATAAAGAGAACAGATTGGGGGCCAAGAACGGAGGCTATCGTAGTATCGAAGTAAACTATCGAGGAAGTAGAGCCACCCAGGGTGACAGAAAAGGTTCTGTTGTAGAGATATGAGAGTAAAAAGCTAAGAGCCCTCGATTCCCACCCAAAGTCTCCCAGCAATGTAAGAGGATAACATGATCAACTGTATCAAAGGCCTCTGTCTGCAGTCCGCAGTTGCTCAGTAACCTTACCAAGAGCTGTGGCGGTAAAACAAGGCTGTAAACAGTTAAAAACACTAGTATTATTCATAAAATCTGTTGAAATGTGATTACTTTCTCCAGAACCTTAGATAAAAAGACAATTTGTAGATCTATAAATACTAGAGGACCGCGGGTCCAGATTAGGTTTCTTTAGCAATGGGTGAACAATGGCATGCCGTCAGGAAAAGAAGCAGAGGCCAAAGAATTGTTGAAAATGTGTGAGATAACAGGGCTAACAGTGGAAAATACCTTAGATAATATCTACGATGCAGGAGGAGGAACTCATATGTGAGACTGTACTCTCTAACAGTCAAACTGTAATGGGCTGAAACTGGGTAAAAGAAGCAGAATCAACAGGGGGAGTGGAAAGAATGTAGGTGTCAGGCTGGGACCTTATTTACAAAATGAGCAAGACATTCGGATCAACATCATGTTCAGGGAAAGAGGCAGAATCAATTACCTTATCTCTAGATAGACATCTGTTCAGAAAAGTCAGCCGATTGTGCATTATTAACTGCTTTGTGATAAATAAATATTTGGTTTGTCAGGGTGTTACGTATTATTTTAGATTTGGTGACCTTCCACTGTCATTCAGATTTCCGACAGAATCTTTTAAGGGTTTGAGCGTGATCGTTCAGCCAGGGGAGGTCATTTGATTTTTGTTTCCTAGTTTTAAAAGGTGCCGTTTGGTCACGTATGCATAGGCACTGGTCATGAAATGAATTTGCAGTGTAGGAACTAGAAGTAGGGAGTTCTAATGGAACTTGGTCAGTTATAGGCATATCAAGCAAATTACAGTGAGGAAAATAAGTATTTGAACACCCTGCTATTTTGCAAGTTCTCCCACTTAGAAATCATGGAGGGGTCTGAAATTGTCATCGTAGGTGCATGTCCACTGTGAGAGACATAATCTCAAAAAAAATCCAGAAATCACAATGTATGATTTTTTAACTATTTATTTGTATGATACAGCTGCAAATAAGTATTTGAACACCTGTCTATCAGCTAGAATTCTGCCTTCAAAATGTCCACCTCCACTCCATTTATTATCCTACATTAGATGCACCTGTTTGAGGTCGTTAGCTGCAGAAAGACACCTGTCCACCCCATACAATCAGTAAGAATCCAACTACTAACATGGCCAAGACCAAAGAGCTGTCCAAAGACACTAGAGACAAAATTGTACACCTCCACTGGGCTGGAAAGGGCTACGGGGAAATTGCCAAGCAGCTTGGTGAAAAAAGGTCCACTGTTGGAGCAATCATTAGAAAATGGAAGAAGCTAAACATGACTGTCCATCTCCCTCGGACTAGGGCTCCATGCAAGATCTCACCTCGTGGGGTCTCAATGATCCTAAGAAAGGTGAGAAATCAGCCCAGAACTACACGGGAGGAGCTGGTCAATGACCTGAACAGAGCTGGGACCACCATTTCCAAGGTTACTGTTGGTAATACACTAAGACGTCATGGTTTGAAATCATGCATGGCACGGAAGGTTCCCCTGCTTAAACCAGCACATGTCCAGGCCCGTCTTAAGTTTGCCAATGACCATTTGGATGATCCAGAGGAGTCATGGGAGAAAGTCATGTGGTCAGATGAGACCAAAATAGAACTTTTTGGTCTTAATTCCACTAACCGTGTTTGGAGGAAGAAGAATGATGAGTACCATCCCAAGAACACCATCCCTACTGTGAAGCATGGGGGTGGTAGCATCATGCTTTGGGGGTGTTTTTCTGCACATGGGACAGGGCGACTGCACTGTATTAAGGAGAGGATGACCAGGGCCATGTATTGCGAGATTTTGGGGAACAACCTCCTTCCCTCAGTTAGAGCATTGAAGATGGGTCGAGGCTGGGTCTTCCAACGTGACAATGACCCGAAGCACACAGCCAGGATAACCAAGGAGTGGCTCTGTAAGAAGCATATCAAGGTTCTGGCGTGGCCTAGCCAGTCTCCAGACCTAAACCCAATAGAGAATCTTTGGAGGGAGCTCAAACTCCGTGTTTCTCAGCGACAGGCCAGAAACCTGACTGATCTAGAGAAGATCTGTGTGGAGGAGTGGGCCAAAATCCCTCCTGCAGTGTGTGCAAACCTGGTGAAAAACTACAGGAAACATTTGACCTCTGTAATTGCAAACAAAGGCTACTGTGCCAAATATTAACATTGATTTTCTCAGGTGTTCAAATACTTATTTGCAGCTGTATCATACAAATAAATAGTTAAAAAATCATACATTGTGATTTCTGGATATATTTTTTTTAGATTATGTCTCTCACAGTGGACATGCACCTACGATGACAATTTCAGACCCCTCCATGATTTCTTAGTGGGAGAACTTGCAAAATAGCAGGGTGTTCAAATACTTATTTTCCCTCACTGTACCTCTAAGGCCAAAATAAGCTGTGTTTCCTACACAGACTTTACTTGGGCGAGCCGCCCAGGTATATCAACCATTTCAGCATTTTGCAGAGAAACACAGGGAGAGGCGTCTCTGGTGTTACGTTAGAAGATTCGACACAGTAGGTGATCAACAACAAGCGTCTTCCACACGGCTCACCTGCTGCTGTGAAAACGGAATTCAATTCAATTAGGCAATTTTAGGCAACTCTATAAAACTGCTGATGAAGAAAGTCAACAGAGCAAATATTTTCAAATGTATACAACATACTGTAACCTGGACCAATTCTAATTTTTTTTTATTCTAATTTTGAGAGGTGTCTAAGTGAGAGAAGGTCATGTAACCTGCTACAGTCTGGGAGAAACTAATAAAAAAATAAAAAATAAATAAAATATATATATATATATTATAGTTCTTAGAAAAAAAGAAAATCAGAATCAGTAGGTCAGACTTGGAAGATTGGAATTGGCCAAAATTGCAATCGATGCATCTCTACTTGTTACAGAAAGATCGCACATTCAAGAAGCCAAAATTGTTTGGTGTCAAAGCAGAGGGAAAATAAATGGGTATAAAGTGAACAGGATGTAAGTTGTTATTTCTACTGTCACACTCAGGTTTCTGCACCAGCTGAAACCTGATCAAGTAACACCAGATAAATCTGCATGAACAGATGCACAAGTGCATTAAGTAAAAATCATGAGGACTGACATATAGTGCAGGAATTCACAAGAAACAGTGAAAAAAGGCTTCCCAAGAGGGTCAGTACTTACACAAAGAAGAAAAGTGTGGAGCCAAAGTAAGAACCTGTAATGTGTTTCATATGTGCACAAATAAAAAGACACTAACAGATAAAGGGCACAGCAAGGCTTCAACTTGCAGCTACTGTGGATACCTTGAAACATGTTGCAATCCCGAGTGTATTAGATGCAGCGCACTACACATCATGCTGAAAAGCAAAAACTGCATTCACGTTGCCATGGCAACATCACAGTTTTAGGGTTTATTCTGTTACCTCACCTGTTCTTGTAGATGTGCAGGCCTCTTGGCTTCAGGCTTTCCTTCCTTCTTGGAAGGTTTCTCTGCTTTAGATTCTAGAGCAGTGTTGACCTTCTGTGCAGACGCTCTGCTCGGCATACAGTCAGGCAACTGCATGAAGAAGAGCTCCTCTCTGCCAGACAGGCGGAGGTCCTGCAGCAGTTCTACCAGAGATGGCTGCTCTGGTTTGGGTAGCTCTGTCCTACAGTGGCCTGCTTTACTCTGAGCTCCACAGGACGGTCTGAACAGAGGGGCTTTCTCAGGACCTGCCAACATGACAACCACAAACACAGGAAAGGACTGCAACACAATACTTACTGATCATGCACAGACACAGAGCGTGGGGGAGTGCGAGCAGGAGGATTTTGGATGGAGCTTAAAGCAGATATTTTCAAAAAGTTAGATTGTCTCTATATCTCCTGCTCCAACCCGCACCAACTTCGCTCCGGTACTGCTCACACCCTGAGCTCAAAGCATGCCCGAGCCCGACCTAGAATGCATCTCACACACCCACATTATTTCCTCCTATTCCTGTAACCCTTACAGATGACGATAAGAAAAAAATGCGCCGACATTGTTGCTGTCAGATTTGACAGCTTCATTTTGGAATCCAAAAATCCATTTCTCAAAAACATGCGGTGTACTACAAGAAGATGTTGGGAAAAAAGGTCATCATAGTAAGAAGGTTTTAACAAATATAAAATAATTAAATATTTAGGGATAACCACCAATGTAGGAACTAGCATTTTACTGTGTCAAATTTACATCAGCGGTTCGCCGTTCACATGCTTCAGCTCACATGTAGAAAGACACCGTTAATGAGCATGACTATGTTAACCACCTGTTTCTGAAAGTTGGGCAGCTGGTTAAAAGTGTACTTACTAAACCAAGTATGTCAGCTGACGCACCGTGTCGCTGTACTGCCACCGCTTATAATATAGGCTCGGCCTACTAGTTTGATGACTGAATAGTTTGTATTTTGTAGCCTATATATTTTAATTTCTTCCCCACGACATAGGCCTAAGTGTAACTTCAAATAAATAATTTCTATTTGGAAAATGTGGTTTTGCCTGTTCTTTTCGATGCCAGGCTAGGGATTTCGTTAAAATTAAAATAGACGGGCAGCTTTTTATCTATTTTTAAGCGATCTTAAGCAGCTTTGAGTCCACTCCGCTCTGGTTCAGGCATGCACAGAAGTCATTTATTTTACCACCTCTCTAGCCTCCTCCTTTTTCAGCATTTAAGCATCTGTGAATTATGTTTATTTCTTTAATGTGAGTTCATTAAATGTTGTGTATCTTGGGGCTGGGCTGGGAGTCTGTGTCAAGCTTGCGTCACATGAGCAATGCCACATCGCCAAACTAAACCGCCTATTGCTGCAATAAATGGTATAAACCTCCACGTGTGTCCTGACTGAATTAGCTTTTTGTCAACAGGCCTGTAATGTGAGATTGTTAGTGGTGAGATAGCAGCAGTAGTCAGAGGGGGTTTTCTCACATGCTGTGGTGGTTGTAAGAGTCTGACTCTTGGTGAAGCTGCTGGACTGACTCAGAGGCAGCTGGATGGGTTTCAGCTTGGCATCATTCCTCAGACCTGGATCATCTATGAACTGTAGGTGCAACATATAATATTAGCAATGAACAATGAGGAGATGAGGGTGATTATTACTATAATGGATAATAAAATTAATTAAACCTCATTGACTCATTACAAACTAATGCTTTGCAGCTAAACACTCTGCAAAACCACAGAATGTTTTAATTCTAGTGGAGAGGAATGAGCTGAGACTGCACTGCTGGAAACCAGCAGCTTTCTGCTGGCAGCCACACTAAACTTCTTAAATGTTAAATGTGCAATATGCCTTGCCAGATTAAAATATTAAACTCTGATATTAAAGACAGGGGAAAACTCTAAATGAATATATACATATTGATATAACAGTAAATTCTCAAGATATGAGGGGCCTTATGAAATAAACAAGTTTTAGTTTTGGAACTCTGCTTTGGTACAGAAATAGGATGTTAAGTCATAGGATGTTAAATAGGAGCTTAAGTAATGTTTATATTTTCACATTAACAATGGATCAACTTCGACTCTGTACGCTGTGAAAGGTGTTTCTCTGAAGCAGAGTTTTTTTTCTCAGGAGTTGCAGGAGACCATATCAGAGCTAAAAGAGGAGTGAATGTCGCACTGCAGGTGAGCACGGCTACCAATGAATGATAATGTTGCTCTGTGTCTGCTGCACATGTAAATATCCAGAGAGTGATAACACAATAGCCACAAAAGCTTCAGGAAGCCATATTTCAAATGATGTGCTTTTATTGTTGTGCTGCCCCCAAGTGGCCCAAAAAAATAAATGCAGCTTTAAAGAATGGGTTCTGTCCCAGGTGCCCATATGAACATTGAAATAGTTTCTGATTGCTCCACTTGTTCATACTGGTTGTAACAGATCACTTTCTAATGTACTTCCAATGTAAATATGCAGGACTGTGGGTTTTGTTCCCGATCAACTACACTGGAAGCACAGTAGCAAAGGTGAAATCCTTTAAGGTGCAGCAGCTTGCAGGAAGTACTCACATTATCCCTCTGTAGTTTACTGAGTATCTCATCTTCATCCTCCTCTGACTCTTTCATCTCTTTCTTCACCAGTTTACAGACAGGAGAGGTGGTGGAGTCATGCAGGTCTGTAGTGCCACGCCAGCCTGAACAGAGAGACGTGAGACAGGGAATACATCTGTAACTGAACCTCTGGTGTTCACGCTGAAGTTCCACTGAAAATGAAAGGACAGAAAAGAGGAGTTGTCCACCTGTTTTGCGTACAGTGTCAGCAGGACCCTGTTCAAAGATGGAGTGAGACTGGATGGTCTGAGGCCTCTCTCTCCTCCTCCCTCTGTTCTCTCTCCTCCTCTCATCCCTCTCTCTTCTCTCCTTTTTTGGAGACACATGGACCTTTTCCTTTAACCTGGGGAAGATGTCTGATGTTTATAATCATTAAACACATACAGACAGCACATAATATGCAAAGCTTAAAACTTCATTAACAGGAGACTGGACGGTCACTCACTCATCTTTGCTTTTCCTCACAGCGTGGACATTTGGCTCAAAGGTTTTCTTTGGGAAACAAAAGAACAAACAAAAAATAAAAACATTGTTAATACAAAGTATCTCCTGGGATTCAAAACATAGATGCTGCAAATACATTTAATGTGCTAGAAATAATTTTCTAGCTGCCAGATTCACTATTACAAGACTGTGTCCCTTATCTTAGTGATCATGTGATTTTTCTTTCCAACCAGCAGAATTGTGAGAAAAATTGTGAGCCATTATTAATCAACTGCATTAAAGCAGCCATCAAACAAAATGAGTTTCCTACTGCAACCCTGAAGTGGCCCTCTGTGAAAGGAAGGTGTTCTCACACCCTGAGTGTCATGTTATCATTTTAATCCAGTAAGAAATTACTAATTGAATTGTGTAACGTTACTTGTAGGCATTGTTTTGTGCATAATGTCCAGTCTGTCTGTGCTTTCATATTGTACAGAAAAAAAAACTATTCCACCCCTTTGATGTGTCATTAATACCTTTGTTTTTTTGAGGGCTCCCCCCAGTGTGAGGTCCCTTGTTCTCAGGGACGTCAGTCTTCCAGGTGGAGCAGAGGAGGACAGACTCCTGACCCGGCCTGGTAGTCCTCTGCCCGCAGTGACACTCAGCCCAGCCCCGCTGCTCCGGCCGGAGGAGCCGGGAACACTTGCTGCATCCCCAGAGTCTGTCATTTTGTGGTGTCTGGTCGTCCTTTTAATATTTTACTGGTACAAAACTGCAGGTGAAGCGTTTCACATGACAGAACACCCTGTTTTTATTGTGCACATAATCAATACCGTCAGTTTGCGACACACTTTGGAAATTTTGGAAGTAACGTTAACGTTACAAATCCGTTTTTTTTGTTTTGTTTTGTTTTTACGAGTGAGCTCACTTAATTCCCTTCACGGCTTTTGGCAAGCAAAATAGCATGAAAACAGTTCATTCACCTTTAAAACCATGGCGAACAAGCATTTTAAGCTAAGCACAGGTCCATGTAACGTTACACCAGGCAATTTAACAGCTTATTACCCTCCATTTTGTTCGCACCCGCGTAACGTTACTCTGAACAAGCTGCGCCAGAAAGCAAAACTGCACACTCGAGGACAGAACGCTTCTGTTTTGGCAAACCGAAATACCGTTAGTTTTTAGGAGTTGTACGTTATTCGACCTCGCTGCCTTACACAATAACGTTAACGTTATCCTTCCTGAAGGCTGCACACAAAGAACTGTCCATCTTTAACACATCTTCGTGGTGGTTACCCAGCCGAGTGTCCTGGCGGTGGTTGTAGAAAACGTTCAGTGCTGAGTGAAAACGATCAACATATTAAACCAGTGATATTATTCCAGTAGTTCCGTTTTGCTGACTATTTTACGTGTCGAGTTCATGTTGATCTAGTTTCCTTCCTACTGTGCTGTTATTGTTGTTCCTAAACGGTCCTGCACAGGTGGAACCACAAGAGGGCAGTGTTAATCTGGTGTATGAGCCTGTGGCGAGGTGGTCGAAGAAACTCACAGCAAAACCAGAGACACTTTAAGGAATTTGGCAAACCCCATAGGTGGAACTTATTACTTTTACTTACTGTACTTAAGTACAATTTTGAGGTATTTGGTGCGTATACTCCACTACATTTCATGGAGGTGTTTTTATACCAACATTTATCTGACACCTGGAGTTACTTGTTACTTGGCACACTATCAGAGGGCTGTGTTACCTTTTTCGCTCCATTTACTTTTCTTCACCATTTTAACCATATTTTATTTTTTGGCTGTTGTAGCCTGTGCTATTTCAAACAAATGAAGCATGTTTTAAGTGCTACTTAAATCCACTTTGTTTAAGTTGTCTCACTATACATGTCTGTTTATTAAAACAATCTTTTCAACACCACTTTTCATTCCAACTCAGTGACATACATTTATAAGTTGGTAGCTTGCTAGCTGGTTTCAAGTTTTTCGTGCGTTGTGTTATGAAGTGGAGGAGCAGACCATGATATCTTTGGAGGTCGTTTATTTTCTCTCTGTCAACACGTTAATACACAATCCTCCCCTCCATTGTCATGTTACAACTTCAGCCCCTACACAAGTTAAATGACAAGGGAATATTAGCGTACGCGGGACAGAAAATAAATCACAAACATTCCTCATATATTGACAAAGGAGATCTAACACGTCAGGTGATAACTATTTACATAGAATATTGTGTAATTATAATAACATATTTGACTCTGTTACACCCGATGATCACAGTCAGTCAAAGGACAGAACCATTAAAGTACTTTACAGTGAATGCATCCATCCATCAATTAGCACTTTAGTGATGATGGTTCAGCAGCTCTGTTTCTCTACTGCCTGCATGTTCTCCCACCTAGTCATAAGGCTCTCTGTTATTACAGTTTTCTTGATTGCTCAGACATGTTTTCTTGAAGCTCTAAACACAAATCCACAACTTCTCACCCAATTCCCCAAACATCCTATTTTCAGGTCAAAATGAAGCTCTCCTCTCAAAACCATTCAATCTTGCTGAAAAACCAAACTTTGCCCTCAAACACACACATACACACACACACACACACACACACACACACACACACACACACACACACACACACACACACACACACACACACTACAACACAGTCTGACACTCTGGTGAGATAAATTCAAAACAATACTACAGAATACATTACTAATAACAACTGGTTATTAGTAATGTTGCTTGTGGTTCTCCTCAAAAACCTTTTCACATGATGAACACAACAAAAGAAATAACAAATGTAAACATTTGCGCATTTTTCATTCCTTAGTGTGCTGTACAGTACAACACAGCAAACAACTAATGATTCTGCCCCAGCATCCTGTCTTTGGTCTGGGACAGGCCAGAGACTCTTGTCCTCCTCCTCCTCATTCTCCCTACTCCTGCTCGTCCTCCATCCTCCTCCTCTTCTGGTGTCCTCTACCTCTTCCTTCAGATTTCTCTGGATCCATTGATCCAAAACTGAATGAACTGACTCTGGCCCTTTTTATCTGTCTATTCTAGGTTCTGATTGGTGTGTTATCAATTTTGACTGTTTGTGTCTCCACCTGGGTAGCTGGTGCTGCTATTTGAGCTCGACCTGTGCTGATTGAGTGAACAATATTTAATGTTAGTGCTTTCTCAATGACCACATGGTGTAGGCAATGAGAAATGAAGGGGTTTGTGTGCAGAGTTTAGAGAAATGGGTGTTATTTTAGAAATTTTTTTTTATTGTTTTGAAATTTTAGTTCAAAGGCCTGGTTATAGTGTTTAAGCAATTGAGAAAAATTGTAACTGGAGTATAAATTCAGTTCATGTTACACAAAAAATATTTGCTATAGCTGTGATCCATTTAATTATTGTTTGAAGCTGAATTCAAAATTAACTAATGTGCAAATAGGCATATAATTGTCTTTTTCAGTCCATAAAACTTGTGACTTTTAATCCAAACTGACAGCTGCGCTATTCAAACTCTACATGGTCAGCTAGCACTGTTCTGCAACATCAGCACATATATAAATTCTAATGAAGTAAATGTACATTAACTCTTATCCAGCTATATCTGTGGTGCAGTTGCAGTAAGAAGATGACTTGAACTAAGTAAAAAAAAGTACAAAAACACAATCCAAATGCTCATTTGCTTATTTACCAGCAGACTGTTTTTTAACTGAGTTAAGAGTGAAAAGACTGCAGAGAGGTCTCCAGGGAGGAAGAGTGAGAGAGATAACAGGATGGGGACTGACTGGTCAGAAAACTGTATAGCGCTTGTCCCCACCTTTTGTTAGGATGAAGGCACAACAATATATCAGAAAAGTAAAATATTGATCTGTATGGTATGTTATTCATTTATTAATAATTCTGAACCTCATATATGTATAAAATCCCGCTGACTAACTGACTGACTGACACAAACAGGGACACTCACAGGACAGACACCAACAAAGAAGAAGAAGATGATGTTCTTATCACAAATGTTAGTAGAGATAGGAGGATTATTGGATTTGCTTCAGGGTGCAAAAACATCTTCCATCCAGAATGTAGAGACAAAATTTTAATCATAGGAAATGACATTATGTCTGCATGATAATGTGATAGACCCTGTACAATGAGGTGCTCATGGTCAGGTAAAGGCTATCATCATGAAAATTGGGATCTCATATCTAGATGCACAGTTACCTCTAATTTTCTGTAGGGTCATCTTGTGTTGTATGGCTAATCTTTCTGTTATCTCAGTCAAAGTGTGGCAACCTACAGTGTGTGCTAACTCAAAGCTGTGACACGAAATAATGCTTCATGTCCAGGTGAAAAATCTCTATCTGCAGGGAGGAGGACGAGTCAGTGGGGGAAAAGCAGTGGAGCTTATGTTAGCCTCAAACACTGCACTACAGTCTAATCCTGTTTTATATTATACTTTTAAATTATTCTGTATAGGGTAACGTTTTATACAAACACACAGAGACCTTGACTTGCATTTATACTTGCACGGGAAAGGAAAACTCTGTTTTAACAGGTAGAAATCTCGAGCAGAACCATGACTCAGGGCAACTAACTGCCTCGACCCACAGGGGGGATGCAGCCAACACAATATCCACACAGAAATACATAAACAGTAACGGTAGTAGTGGTACAGACAGAACATGAAAAATGGTTCTAATAATGATAGTAATATTAATGATGATAATGACTAGTAATAATAGTTGTAGCAGAGGGTGTTGAGCAGGAACACGAGGGCAGCAGGTGACTCGCAACCACAGATCCAGACTCCACAGCTTCAGAGCCAGAAACACCTGCAGAAAGTGATAGGAGGAGAGAGGAGAGGGATGAGAAAGGAGCTCAGTGCATCATGGGAGCCCTAACTAAAAGCTTTATTAAAGAGGAAAGTCTTAAAAATTTAAAATAATCATCTCTAAACAGTGCAACAAGAAGAATGTAATACCATGGCCAAATGTACCTGTCTAGTGGCCCTGCAGGAAAACTTTACTGTTTGATCTCTACCAACAACCTCACAATTTCTGTTTCTCTCTTTGTGATAAAACATAACTTTGTGTGGGATTAAATGACCACAGAAGGTTAATCACCTATGTTATTTGTTAGATATAACAAAGACATTTGGTAAATACAATGTTGATATGTTCTAGTAATGATATATTATTTCTGAAATAGTAAAATGCTGTTTATGGTGCCAGTAGCATAAAGAAATAGCTTCCAGTCAAAATTGTGACTGATGGGACAATACAGTACTGGGACTCAGACAAAGTTGCATAAAATTTAAAATTTTTATCAACATCAATTTAGATTAGGTTTTGGACATCCTTGATTAAGTTGAGCCCTAAGACTTTCCCTATGTTACTTTTATGTGTAATGTAAAGCACTTTGAATTGCCTTATTGTTGAAATGTGCTATACAAATAAACTTGCCTTGCCTAAGACGCTACTTGCTACATTGTGATTACAGTTTTTCACAATTGCTAAGCCACATTTTCTCGAAACTTTAAATACAAAACCTAATCTTTAAACTACATTCACAAAACCCAAGACTCTTCTGGCAAAATCAAACAATCGCCTCAAAATCATGTGATCTATGCTCATAATCGAACACTTCTTTCAGAACATAAACACAGCCAGTCATTATGTAAAACACTACAGAGCATTCTTTCGACGCTACATCAGAACATTGAGAACACAGCGTCCAGGACATGTAGTTAAAGAAAATGTTTTTTTCCAAATAGGAAACATATTTTCCAATTTTAAAAAGTATAATAATCACAACTTAGTAAATATATAGTATACTGCAAGTAATACAGTATTGAATACCTGTATATTCAGCACTTGCATAAAACACAGTACTATAAGCCCAAAGAACAAAGAAAACTAAATGAAAAGCACATTACACTCAAAAATGTTGTGCAACAGCAAAATCAAAGTCCGAGAGAGATTCATTCTGCCTCAGGATCACGTCTTTGTGCTGGGTCCGGCCAGAGGACTTCGTCCATGCAACCTTTTCCCTTGCCAGGCAACGGGGGTAAAAACCCTCAGGTGTGCTGGATGCAGCCTTGCTGTAACAACACTCCTCACCACAGGCCATTTCCATTGCCTGTAAGAGATTTCCCCTGGTAAATGAATTTCCGTCATAGACATTCCACCACCAGGCAGAGAGAAATTCTTCTATTGGATTGAAGTAAGGGCTGTATGGCTGAAGGTAAACATTTGTCAATCACTGGTTGCTGGTTGATGTTGAACCACTTGCTTAGCGGGACACCACAGTGAAAGCTGACATTGTCCCATAGACAGGATGTACTGCCGGCTGATGATCCTGCTGCTCATGCTCAAACACAAAATTTCAAAGACCACCCAGAAAAGTAAGACAATCTTCAGTGTGATATGGCCCCAAGGTTGAATGACAGTCCAGAACCTGTCCCTGACTTATAGCTTGGTCAAAGTGTGACATTGCCACTTCGCTGGC